TTAAATATCCGAATGACCTGAAATTTGGTATGGGGATACCTTGGACACATGTCCAAAGAATGTCACTCACAATTTTGACATGCACCACTTTAAAGTTAAGTAAAATAGGGCTTTTTGGCTATTTCCGGCATTGGAAGGTTCCATTGCTGCATGGGGGTGTAGACTATTGGCAGCCATCGTAGGATAGATCCATTTTCGGTATGGGGGATGTGGTGAAGCCATCTGCTGCATTTGCTCTCAAGCAAATGTCGGCCTTTCTAGTTTTATTTGGGTTTTTTGGCCATTTTCAGGCAAAAAATATACATTTTGGGATCTGGAGCCCTGGTACTAAAACCAAATGACCTGAAATTTGGTATGGGGATACGTTGGACATATGTCTGCAAACCTAATTCAAGCTTTCTACATACACCACTTTAAAATTGTGTAAAATAGGGCTTTTTGGCTATTTTCGGACCAAAAATGTACATTTTTGGCTCCTGTGCCCTAATATTAAATCCGAATGACCTGAAATTCGGTATGGGGATACCTTGGACACATGTCCAAAGAATGTCATTCACGCTTTCGACATATACCACTTTAAAATTGGGTAAAATAAGGCTTTTTGGCTATTTTCGGACAAAAATGTACATTTTTGGCTCCTGTGCCCTAATATTAAATCCGAATGACCTGAAATTTGGTATGGGGATACCTTGGACACATGTCCAAAGAATGTCATTCACGATTTTTGACATACACCACTTTAAAGTTATGTAGAATAGGGCTTTTTGGCCATTTCCGGCATTGGAAGGTTCCATTGCTGCATGGGGGTGTAGACTATTGGCAGCCATCGTAGGATAGATCCATTTTCGGTATGGGGGAGTGTGGTGAAGCCATCTGCTGCATTTGCTCTCAAGCAAATGTCGGCCTTTCTAGTTTCCTATGTATCCCATGTGGGGGTTATCACATGTCATTTTGTACTTAAAATTTAAGTTAAACTAGAAAGGCCAAAAAGCCCTATTCTACATAACTTTAAAGTGGTGTATGTCAAAATCGTGAATGACATTCTTTGGACATGTGTCCAAGGTATCCCCATACCGAATTTCAGGTCATTCGGATTTAATATTAGGGCACAGGAGCCAAACATGTACATTTTTGGTCCGAAAATAGCCAAAAAGCCTTATTTTACACAATTTTAAAGTGGTGTATGTCAAAAGCGTGAATGACATTCTTTGGACATGTGTCCAAGGTATCCCCATACCGAATTTCAGGTCATTCGGATTTAATATTAGGGCACAGGAGCCAAAAATGTACATTTTTGGTCCGAAAATAGCCAAAAAGCCTTATTTTTTCCAATTTTAAAGTGGTATATGTCAAAAGCGTGAATGACATTCTTTGGACATGTGTCCAAGGTATCCCCATACCGAATTTCAGGTCATTCAGATTTAATATTAGGGCACAGGAGCCAAAAATGTACATTTTTGGTCCGAAAATAGCCAAAAAGCCTTATTTTTTCCAATTTTAAAGTGGTATATGTCAAAAGCGTGAATGACATTCTTTGGACATGTGTCCAAGGTATCCCCATACCGAATTTCAGGTCATTCAGATTTAATATTAGGGCACAGGAGCCAAAAATGTACATTTTTGGTCCGAAAATAGCCAAAAAGCCTTATTTTTTCCAATTTTAAAGTGGTATATGTCAAAAGCGTGAATGACATTCTTTGGACATGTGTCCAAGGTATCCCCATACCGAATTTCAGGTCATTCAGATTTAATATTAGGGCACAGGAGCCAAAAATGTACATTTTTGGTCCGAAAATAGCCAAAAAGCCTTATTTTTTCCAATTTTAAAGTGGTATATGTCAAAAGCGTGAATGACATTCTTTGGACATGTGTCCAAGGTATCCCCATACCGAATTTCAGGTCATTCGGATTTAATATTAGGGCACAGGAGCCAAAAATGTACATTTTTGGTCCGAAAATAGCCAAAAAGCCCTATTTTACACAATTTTAAAGTGGTATATGTCAAAAGCGTGAATGACATTCTTTGGACATGTGTCCAAGGTATCCCCATACCGAATTTCAGGTCATTCAGATTTAATATTAGGGCACAGGAGCCAAAAATGTACATTTTTGGTCCGAAAATAGCCAAAAAGCCTTATTTTTTCCAATTTTAAAGTGGTATATGTCAAAAGCGTGAATGACATTCTTTGGACATGTGTCCAAGGTATCCCCATACCGAATTTCAGGTCATTCAGATTTAATATTAGGGCACAGGAGCCAAAAATGTACATTTTTGGTCCGAAAATAGCCAAAAAGCCTTATTTTTTCCAATTTTAAAGTGGTATATGTCAAAAGCGTGAATGACATTCTTTGGACATGTGTCCAAGGTATCCCCATACCGAATTTCAGGTCATTCAGATTTAATATTAGGGCACAGGAGCCAAAAATGTACATTTTTGGTCCGAAAATAGCCAAAAAGCCTTATTTTTTCCAATTTTAAAGTGGTATATGTCAAAAGCGTGAATGACATTCTTTGGACATGTGTCCAAGGTATCCCCATACCGAATTTCAGGTCATTCGGATTTAATATTAGGGCACAGGAGCCAAAAATGTACATTTTTGGTCCGAAAATAGCCAAAAAGCCCTATTTTACACAATTTTAAAGTGGTATATGTCAAAAGCGTGAATGACATTCTTTGGACATGTGTCCAAGGTATCCCCATACCGAATTTCAGGTCATTCAGATTTAATATTAGGGCACAGGAGCCAAAAATGTACATTTTTGGTCCGAAAATAGCCAAAAAGCCTTATTTTTTCCAATTTTAAAGTGGTATATGTCAAAAGCGTGAATGACATTCTTTGGACATGTGTCCAAGGTATCCCCATACCGAATTTCAGGTCATTCAGATTTAATATTAGGGCACAGGAGCCAAAAAATGTACATTTTTGGTCCAAAAATAGCCAAAAAGCCCTATTTTTCACAATTTTAAAGTGGTGTATGTAGAAAGCTTGAATTAGGTTTTGCAGACATATGTCCAACGTATCCCCATACCAAATTTCAGGTCATTTGGTTTTAGTACCAGGGCTCCAGATCCCAAAATGTATATTTTTTGCCTGAAAATGGCCAAAAACCCAAATAAAACAATTTTTAAAAAAAAATGAAAAAAACGCGTCGGGGTATTGGCCCACTCTACGTCCATGCCAAATTTCAGGTCATTTGGCTGAAAAACGGCTGAGTTGAATCCCTTTGACTGTTTGGCAGGAGGAGAAGGAGGAGGAGAAGGAGAAGAAGAAACATGAGGGAACACAATATGTCTTCACCACTTTGTGGTGAAGCCATAATTATTTTGCTCTTCAAATCCTGGTATAAAGATGATACTATTAGCCTTGTTTTTTTTGTATAGAATACAACACAGTATATTCCGTATCACTGGAGGTACAAATGAACCAGCCTGACCATAGGTCAGGTGGCCCGATGGGAGGGCTGGGACTGAGGGTGAGGGGAAATACACCAGGTTGTATTTTATTAATGTCATACCCCCCTTAAAAATATGCATTTCAATGCAAAATGTGCTAAAATTTGGTGTCCCTAAACAGAAAACTGCAACATCAATCGTCTGAATCCAGTATTTAAATTTTTGAAAGCAGCCTACACATACATGTACATAAATAAAATACATGTATGTGTCCCAATCACTCCAGGACCTACATATCTGAGTAGCAGCCAGTCAACATACCAAGTATGAAGCAGTCTTGTTGTTGCCTTCTTGCTGAATGACACACTTTGATCCTGCTGACAGCAGCACAACACAGGCCATGTACAGCTGGTGGTAGTCTGTCTCTACTGCTGGCAGCTTACTCACCAGGGTCCGCACAGCCTACAATACAGGCACAACAGTAACAACACACTACCAAAAATGACATTTCTAGCATTCTTGTTTTTTCTTACAGTCAGAAAATATTTCTTCCCTGAAGCAAATTTTTCTGTATTTAAGAACGAAATTTTGTCCACGAATTAAGTAATTTTTTCTTGATAGACTTTTTCTTGCAGTAAGAATATTTTTCTTATGGGTTTCTATATAAGTTATTGTTGGCTACTTCTAGAATCTTATTCTTACAGTAAGATTCGTGATGCAGACAATTGTTCTTATACAAAGACTGCAGTTCTCAATACAAGCCTAAAATTCTATAAATCTGGAAGTTATTTTATTCTTTCAAGATTTTCGTTCTTATCCCAAGAACACTACATTCTTATCTTATAATTTTTTTCTTGTGCAAAGAACTTTTTACTGTCAGCAAGAACCTTATTCTTTAAACAAGAATCCCCGTTTCCAGAAAATTCAAGAAACCCACGCCACGTTGTTCTTATTCTCAGAATTTATTTCTTAAAGCTAATAAACCATTAAGAATATTCTTCTCATGATAAGAATTACGGGTTCTTACATGAAGAATCTCTATCTTGTTCGCAGGAAAATATTTCTTGAACGAAGAGTTAACTGTTACACAAGAAAATATTTCTTGATCTAAGAGCTATTTGTTCTTATAGCAAGAAAACCATTCTGCCCACAAGAAAAGATGTCTTGAACTAAGAGCTAACTGTTCTTGTAGTAAGAAAACCATTCTGTAGACAAGAAAAGATTTCTTGAACTAAGAGTTAACTGTTCTTGTAATAAGAAAAATATTCTGTATATAAGAAAAGATTTCTTGAACTAAGATCTAACTGCTCTTGTAATAAGAACTCCATTCTGTAGACAAGAAAATATTTCTTGAACTAAGAGCTAATTATTCTTGTAGCAAGAAAATCATTATGTATACAAGAAAACATTTCTTGAACTAAGAGCCTAGCTAACAGTTCTTATAATAAGAAAGCCATTCTGCACATAAGAAAAGATTTCTTGATCGAAGAGCTAAATTATTCTTGTAGCAAGAAAATCATTCTGTATACGAGAAAACATTTCTTGAACTAAGAGCTAACTGTTCTTATAGTAAGAAAACCATTCTGCACATGAGAAAAGATTTCTTGAACTAAGAGCTAATTATTCTTGTAGCAAGAAAATCATTCTGTATTCAAGAAAACATTTCTTGAAGAGCTGTTCTTATAGTAAGAAAACCATTCTGCACATGAGAAAAAATTTCTTGAACTAAGAGCTAATTATTCTTGTAGCAAGAACCTCATTCTGTATACAAGAAAACATTTCTTGAGCTAAGAGCTAGCTAACAGTTCTTATAATGAGAAAAACATTCTGCACATAAGAAAATATTTCTTGAAGTTAGAGCTCAATATTCTGGAATCAATAAAACTATTTTGTCCACAAAAGAAGAAATAATGTACAAAAGTTACAGAGAATGATATTGCAACAATTAAAATCCTATAACAATTATTTGACAGGCCTCTCTTGACACTGACAGTACAGGAATATTCATTACCACATTCATTATGTACATGTATCTAACATTCTTTGAATGGAAACAAGTTTTACAGTAAACTTAAAATTATCATACGATGTAACCAACAAGCCATTATCATGGTTAAAGAATACAGATCATATCATATTCCAAAACATTCAGCAAACCCTGCAGCTTTGGCATTATAGCATTGGAACAGTCACGGTCTTTGGAAACCTGAAAAAAAAAACAGAAAGGAGCTTTCTAAGTTTGCATTGTATGCAGGGGCTGAAGACAACAAAGTCAAAAGAGGATGCTAAAATAGGATTGAATTACTTCAAGTTTACTCAACAATTGAAAATAATATAATTATAATGCAGTAAAACACTGTACTCTACAATATACCAGAGATACAATTTAGAAATCAACCCCAATGGAATTGTAGCAAATAAGCTATGAAGTCTAAAAACAACGTCAACAGATTTTTTTCTTCTTGGTGGGGAGGGGGGCGCACTTACCTTATATAAGTTTCAAATTGGTTCCATCCGTTTTTCGTTGCAAAGTTCGTTTCTTCTGCAAGCCGACACGATCACCATTGCTTCACATGCTCACAAGGTCCTTTTTACCTTGATTTTGACTTCAAATCCGACGATATGAATCAATATCTGACTAAAAAGATGTAACCAGCACAGAGCACTGCCCCCACATCTGACTTCACCCCAGCTTCTGTTCAAAAATCCCTAACTGCATTCTGGGATTTGAATTAACCAATCAGGAGCTCACAAGAGGTCACATGACAGTTATGGCTAGAATGTTAAGAAAAAAATTCTTACATTATCTTGAACATTATACCAGGGAAAAAACTCATATTTCTTGAACTTTCTCGATAAGGAAAACAAAAACGTTAAAGAACTTTAAGTATTTTGTGCTTTCAGGTTTTAAATTTGATTTCTAATTCAACCATTTTTTTGTCTAAAAAGAAAGCAAAGACACAGATTCTTGTATTTTCTTGAACATAACCTGACCATGGAAAACAAGAATCATTTTCTTGAACTATCTAGATAAGTAAAACTATGCTAGTTACAAGTATAGAATTATTCAAAGTCAAGAAAGTAAAGAAACTAATTCTTGTCTCTGACATTACTAAAAGAATCTAGAAGCAGATTGCTCAACTTTCTAAATTACAAAAAAACAAGAACAAATTCTTAATACCCCAAAAATAGATTCTTACACCAAGATTCCTTTTCTAACTTTAAGAGTGATATTACTTATCAATTACTATTATATTATTATTGTCAAGAAAGCCTTTCTTCTATTTAAGTTTCATGTTCTTACAACAAGAATGCATATCTTTTTCCTCAAGACAGAAATTCTTAATATATATACCACTATAATCTTTGAGACTTTGGTTCTCAGTTCAAGACCAAAATTCTTATATACTGCCAAAAAACACTTTCTTCTAAGCAACATATGTCAAGAAAGTGAAGAACAAAATTCTTGTTTTTTCTGACATAGCCCAAGAAAAGCAAGAACTTCCTTTCTCAAAGTTTCTTGATATGAAAAACAAGAAAATTCAAGAATGTTATTCTAGTTATGACTTGATCTTTGTCTTCTAGTTTCAACATCTTGAATATTCTTGTTTTTCTAAGCAATATATCTCAAGAAAGGTTAGATCAAAATTCTTGTTTTTTCTGACACAGCCCAAGAAAAGCAAGAACTTCCTTTCTCAAAGTTTCTTGATATGAAATACAAGAAAATTCAAGAATGTTATTCTAGTTATGACTTGTTTTTTTAAACCCTGCTTTTCTTGTTTTTCTTACTATGAGAAATACTAGAAACTTAAGGGAAAAATTCTTGTATTTTCTCAACCATGGCAAGAAAGTAATTCTTCAGACAAGAAAAACAAGACCATTTAACTCAATTTTCTAAAACATTCTAGGGGGAGAAAATCACTGCTAGAAATTATTTCTTCACGTAAGAAAAATAAGAAAATGTTTATTGTAGTGAAAATTTACAAGAAAAAATTTTTAGAACGATCTGTTGCTCTTTTCTTATTTATTCTTAATTTTTCTTGAAATTTCTTCATGTAAGAAAATTTGTCCACGAATTAAGAAAAACAAGAAAAACAAGAAAAATCATTTTTGGTAGTGTATACAGGGTGCTATATATTGGTGGTACTGTATGTGCAGAACAACAATTGTTGTGCTCC